ACCGTTGCAAGGACTCCAGAACAGCCCAGGTTTCGACAGTATCAAAGGCTTTCTCGTAGTCCACAAACGCCAGGCATAAGGGCAGATTATACTCTTCGGTTTTCTGTACAATCTGCCTCACTGTATGTATGTGGTCCACGGTACCATATCCCCCTCGGAACCCGGCCTGCTCAGGGGGCTGAAACTCGTCGAGTCTTCGCGCGAGACGATTTGTTATGACCCTGGAAAACAGCTTATAGACGTGGCTCAGAAGAGAAATAGGTCGGTAATTCTTCAGAAGGGTTTTGTCTCCCTTTTTGAAGAACATAATGACGACACTTTTGCCCCACGCCCTTGGAGTTCTCCCCGAGAATAGAACGGAATCAAACAAGCGTCTAAGTCGCTCAAGCACTGGCTTTCCACCGGCCTTTAGGAGCTCCGTTGTAATTCCATCCTCTCCGGGGGCTTTTCCATTTTTAAGCTGCTTCAAAGCCAACGCAATCTCGTCTTGGCTGATCTCTGGCATGTCTTCGGTAAAGTGGCGGATAAGTGTGGCCCTAGGATCCCCCGAGTCTGGATATGGACGCGGTGCTTTTGAGGTGTACAGATCACCGTAGAAGCGCCGAACCTCCTCGAGAATTTCCGGCTTAGAAGAGACGATATTACCATCCGGTGTGGTCAACTTCGTCAGATGGCTTCGATTTAATTGCTGGCTGAAGACTTTTGACCCCCGGTTTCGCTCAATCGCTTCTTTTATAGCGCGAGTATTGGCGCTTCGGAGATCACGTCTTATCAGCTTTGAGATCTTTTTATTGAGATCTGACGAAGCGACTGATGGGTTGTTACGTCGCCTCTCCATAACCTGTAGGCACTCTCCCGAAAGCTTGGCGCCCCTGCCGGTATTCTGCTTCCGCCATAATCTCGTCCCTTCGTCTCGGAGGATCACTACTGTTTGGTCAAGTTCCTGGTCGATATCAATGTCATTTGTGGTTTCCAAGGCAGCAAATCGGTTTTCCAGTTTTAACTGAAATGTTTCAGACCCAACCACGGCTTGGAGCAAGTTTGGTCGGAGCGTAGACTTCATGAGACGGACACGCTCGGAGTCATATTTGATGTTTAGAGTGCCTCGCACAAGTCGGTGATCACTTCCGGTATTAAACCTATTGATCACTGAGACATCTCTAAATATTCGTCTCTTGTCCGTCATAATGAAGTCTATGTCATTTTTTGTCATAGCGTCGGGGCTCCGCCACGTCCACTTCCGTTGGGGCTGCTTCTTAAAGAAGGAGTTCATCAAAAATAGCCCCTCTTTTTCCAGGAAGTTAACGAGCATTTGCCCCCTATGGTTCCTGCTTCCAAAACCATGTGGTCCTACTACCGACTCGCCGCTAGTCTGTACTCCCACTTTAGCATTGAAGTCTCCCATGACAACGTTGAAATGGGCCTTTTGGGTGGTGTGTAAGGCCCTGGAAATGTCTTCATACAATTCCTCTACCTCATCATCCGAGTATGTCGAGGTAGGTGCGTACACTTGGATGACCTTTAGGTTATACCTCTTGGTGAGTTTGATCACAAGGTACGCTACCCTTGCTGACACACTGGAGACCTCAACAACGCTGTCTGACAGAGATCTGTGGACCAAAAACCCGACGCCACCCTGTGATGGTTGGTCTCCTTCCCTGTAGTACATAAGGTGGCCAGACTCCAAAGTTACGGTATCCTCTCCCTGTCTTCGGACTTCACATAACCCCAGGATATGCCACCTCACGTTTTCTAGCTCCACCTCTAACTGTGCCAAATGTTCATCGAGCCGTAGCGTGCGTCCGTTATACGTAGCCAGAGTCAGTTGGTGTTGTCGGCCTTTCATAGCCCGGAGATTCTTAGCACCCCCTACCCCGCCGTTACTATGACCGCCGACTTGGCCAAGAATAGCGGGGCGACCGGGAACTGGGGGCCGTTTCGTTAGGCGTGCCATTAGAGGTAATGCCCGTAATCACCACGCTGGGCAGGCGGGTTGGTGATCGCAGGGCGTAGCTCCTCGCAGATTTATGGATGCGCCCGATAAATTCAATGATTTAATAAGATTTTATGTAAACTGGGCATACTAATGCGATTTGTAGTATTTACTGGATTTACTTTGTTATTACAGGTATTCAACAAAAGATTTTTGAGCATTTTTGTGTAATCACCACGCTGGGCAGGCGGGTTGGTGATGGCAGGGCGTAGCTCCTCGCAGATTTATGGATGCGCCCGATAAATTCAATGATTTAATAAGATTTTATGTAAACTGGGCATACTAATGCGATTTGTAGTATTTACTGGATTTACTTTGTTATTACAGGTATTCAACAAAAGATTTTTGAGCATTTTTGTGTAGTAGCTATACCTACTGGTAGATTGCTGTACTTTCAGAAGATATAATTTAGGAATAGTTTGAAAAGAAACGTTTTATGTACATGTTCAATGTCATTACAAATTAACCATAGGAATTACTGTTTCATCGTGTCATGATATTATTTATTAATATGTGTAATTCTCAGTAATCGGTTGAGCCAATTTGATTTAAAGAAATCGAAACCAAATTGTAATTCTTTCACACTAAATTCCAATTTAATATTACAATCATTTACAGTACAACGACAATTCTCATTAAAATAAATCAATAAAAGTGCGACTATATTTTTATCGCACTGAAAATTCAAAGTAATTTAGTTTTAACAAGTCAAGAACCCAATTAGTATCTTAAGCCAAAATCTTTGAATGAGTATGTCTGTATATTATAATGAGTAGTTATACAGTTAGATCATTATTATAGTAAGTTAGTAGTTAAAACTATTGAATTTCTATCAAAACCTATCCAGACTAGTGATTAATGTCTGCCCCACTTAGTAAATTGTTAAGAGAATTACAGATTCTGGATGGATAAGCGTCTATTAAAAGTGATTGATTAAATTAATAAATATTTATTGTATTTAAAATATACATGCAGAGCAGTACACTTTCTAATTTTGAAATAGTTTAGTTATTTACTACTAATATTAAAATAATTAAATTTTGACATATTTCAAACAATCTAATCTAATAAATAAATAAATTGCACAAATAATTCAAGAACATTGATAATGTTATTTCGGTTTAAAAATATCTCGTATCTGATTTCAAGTCCGCAAAGTAATAAATAAATTATACTCAGAGAAATGTGAAGCCAGGCAAAGGAAATGAGTAAGTAATAGATAAACTTTTTTAAGAGAAATATTTTTCACGTGATAACTCACCAAAGGAGATATAATTTACAGCAAGTCTACTTTGAAGTCTGCTGATTTGACCTTTTATTTTTCTTCTATAAATAATAAAATATTGGGATGTGATGTTTATGTCCAGTGAAAAAAAATATTGAAACTTTTATTGTCATTCATATTAATCCAATCAGTTTTTTCGATAGCGCTTCGCTGTGTCAATTTACCAATTAGCATAAATCGTGAGCCATTCCGAAAGGATTAAAGCAGCGTGTTACTCGCGGACAACAAATTGAATACGGATTTGCGTGTAACATCAGCTTGCCATTTCATTAAAAATATATTTCACAATTCGCGACAACTTCATTTTCGAATAAACCCTTTTCGATATCAATGTAAAAATTAAAGAGATCACCACAATTCAATCTCTACAGTGTTCTACCGAATTTAATTACAACCCTCCGGTCAATAACCACTTACATAATTATATTTATTCACGTATAAAGCATATTAGTATCCACGTTGTTTACAAAAAAATGGACAATCATAAAAAATATATTACAAATAAAATACTACTACAAAATTCTGTTCTATCCCAAAATGGAAGCATAAAAATATACCGCCGATCCGTGATATGACGGCGACAGCTCCATTTTTAAACAATTCCACGGAGAATAGTAGAATTGCGCTCCCATTTTCAACATAGGCTATAATTAAAGCTAGCTGACACTAACAAAAATAGATACATATATAAATTATCTGCCGATTAAAATATTCAAAGTAGTTCTTTGGCAGTTGACAATGCAATTTTACCAATACGCATTTTCCTGTCTTTAATATTTAAGTGGGATTCCACAATGCATATTATGTTATGCAGCCTTCTTAATTCATGAATTGTGTACATTGTTTCGTAAATTGGATTGTAACATACTACAAGATAATTGCGTTCATTATGTACTAAGAGCATCTTGCGACGTCTCGCTTAGGTCGTAATTCGAGCTAGATGTAATTAAGACATCGCTTTGTCGCATTTACTGAATACAGACTAAGACTAATATATTAAACTAGACTCATCTACCTTGTTGACAACTTGTAATTGCGACTGTCGAACAACAATGTCATGAATTCGATACTCTGATTAGACAAACAATCAACATTTACAATTTCCAGTAAGAAAATCGAAAGAAGAATGCTAGTTTTGGTGCCGGTTTGAAACAGTACACACTGCCAATCACCATATACATATGATTATTGGCATTAAACGTGAGAGCATTTAAGTACACACACGTGTGCAAATCATAATTGTTATTAAATGTGCTAATAAACACTAAAAGTCCGCTTAACATAAATTGTTAACGAAATCACACGACCATTACTAAATCAATGCAATGATCTTTTATCTGAATGCTTCTCAGCAAACGATATATGTTTCGAATGACCATATAGCCAAACTGTTTCAAGCAATTAATTTAGCAATTTAGCTTTGTCAAATGACCATGTGAAGGAAAAATAATATGTTATCTACGTGAGAGATTAATTGTATAAAAAATACCCCAAAGCCCAGAGTTAGAATGACAACTACTTGTATTGCACAAATAAATTATTGAATACCGAATATAATGTTTATGTTTCCAATGATATTACATGTGAGAAGGAATTAATTTTTCAGCATAAAGATCCAAATCGAACAGGACTCTACAAAGTAGCATGAGTGTTAATTGGAATTATGAAATATTAGACACAAAATTATAATCACATATGAAATATGAAATGGAAGTAACATACTTGGAACCGAGCGACCGGCACTTCCGATGTGTGGGGATGAACTTGCCCTGGTGACACGAGCCCTGCAGCCGCAGCGAGCCGGAACCTACTTTGTGTGAAGGCGATACGTTAGTTGTATTTGAAGCCCCTAAAGCAATTACTTCTTTGACTGACTCCTTGGAACCAGCGCAGCTCCCGACCGGCGAAGGCGGCTCTAGTTTTAACGATAATCTGAAATAAAACTCGATATTAGTAACTTCTAATAAGTTTTTGTTCAAAATAATATTTTTTTTACAAATTTTACGAGCCCTACTTCATCGCGAATTTTTGCCCAGCTTAACTTTAAAAAAAAACAAAAACAAAACTCGCAAGTGAAAAAGAAAAGTGGAGCGCGCATAAAGTTTTGAAATATAAGAAAATAAAATCGCAGCTGCATTTTGCACAAACGAAACAAAATAAAAAAAAAGAAAGAAACATGAATGTGAATTAATGTATTTCTCCTGAAGGCCTTACCCTTGTAAGTAGTAAGAGCACACGTTTGGACTTTGCGGGTGCAGGATTAGCTACTAACTGGGATCGAAGAATAGCAAACAAGTGCCGTGATTGCAGTTGAAGCGAGGCTCGGCTAACAGAATTACGTTCTTGTGTGTAATTCTAGAATATGAAGATTGACGGACGCATTGCTGGGGCACAGTAATTGGCCGACGCTTTGTGAACGGCTACAGCTTCAGATGCATATATGCATTGTTAAGCCCTTTGTGCTCTGATTTTCTGGTTCACTCTTTGCGCAATCTATCTGACATTCTAAATGCCAATATTTTTAATTTCTCAAAAAAAATGGTCAGCTAATATTTCGGAAAATTTCGAAAAAAAATTTTTTTAACCAATGGACGATGATTATTGTCTATTTCTGTAGATTTCGCAAGCTATAAGGTATATGCTAACGTGCCCCATGAATAAGACAGGCAGAGAGACTAAAAAGATTGCAGAATAAAATGCAAGTTGGACTCGGGGAGCTCTCTACAGATCAAAACCTGGCAACATCACATTATCACTTGTGCTAGTTAATACCCTATGAAATTATAAGAGTGCAATAGTAGGTATCACGGCGAACCAGTGAATTCAAGTTTTTTTTTTGTCCATTTGAAAATCATCAAATGGCTTCTGCCGCCAAGGGTAAGGCGAAAGAGAGTGTCAGATTCTTACTGACTAAAAATCCCCCTTTCTTTCTCCTGCTCTCGGCCGAGGCTGCGGTGCCTCATTGCTCTTGCCCCGCAACCTCGGAGTCAATTCAAATTGATGGTTGGATGAGCACAAGCTTATTTACACTTACATAACATTTATACTTATTTTTTAACTGTTATACGTACTTTGAATTGGTCAAACATACCTACTATCGAACCAGAAACCTCTTCTGACCTCTCAATAACTCAATTAGTGAGTCACTCAAAAATAAAAAGGTAATCGTCAAACCTTATCTTCTTAATCTAGTATGCACCTATAATTATTATTCAGTTTACATCCATTTTACCTCCAACGTGATTTTAGTAACTACTAACGCCATCTAGATCAGTTTCTGTAAACTATATAACGGCGCGAAACTTTTATAACTTTGTTTAACTTGTTCCGACAGTGTCGAGCTATTTAGCGCTAAATTTATAACGTTCAAGTTAAACGTTATTAATTTAGCGAGAGATGTGTTCCTCACTTGTTATTTTCTAGGTGAGTTAACTAGAGTTTTTTTTTCCTATTAATAGCCCATATTAGAAGTAATGGCTATAATTATAAATCTAAATATAGGCGATCATTCTTTTGAGCGGAGAAAATGATCAAGTTACTTGTCTTGCCCTGTGTAGGGAAGACTCTTACTGACTAAATACCACCCCGTTCCCGGTACATTATTGCGCTTGATCCCCTTCGGTTGCACATTAGCTCAATTGGGCCCCAAAACCTGACCTGACCTAAAATCCAAGTGCGAGTTTGCTTTACCTAAGGTAAGGCGATCGACACGTTTATGACGTTGGGCGTTCTGATTGGCCTGCTTCAGGTTTACCAACCAATAAGAGGGCTTAATGCGGTAAGATTTCGATCAAAAATAAACTCGCACTTAGCACTCACTGGTCATGGTGGCCCAAGGCTTAAGTCGCCCGCTTCTCATGCAAGAGGTAGGTTCGAAAGCATGAAAGTACCAATGTGATTTTTTTTTCGGGGCATACGTACTTTCTAAGTTTATTAAGTCACCACGGATCATAAGAGAAAACATCGTGAGGATAATTCCTAATTATCTAATTATAAGTTTGAAATCGCCAATCCGCCTTGAGCAAACGTGGTGATTAATGCTCAAAACTTCTCTTTGTGAGAAGCTGCATTTGCTTAACAGCGGGAACTTGCAAGCGAATGAGGACAACGACTTCAGGTTATATAAATTCCAGAAAAAAGTGGCATGTCTTATATCTTTCTTAACCCATTGATCGCACGGATTCCTGCGAGCGCAAAACCCGGTAGTGATAAAGAAATTATTGTAATTTTGTTTTCATTACCACTTAGGTTAGAATACATGACGTTAATCGAATTTGCCTTATTTTAACGTAATAAATTATACACCATAACAAACGTGAGAATAAAGGTTATAGCGTGTTTTGTCTATAGAAGTATTTTTAAGCTAATAAATCACATGAATCACAGTAGGAATAGACTCGAGCGACGTGAAGTCAACGATGTCGCTTTTGTTCCGATGTTTGAGCATATGACACGTCTGGTGCAAATATCTTATATAAGTGCATAAGACTTCATGAGATAATTAAAGTTTATTATAAGTCATAATGCCCAATTTTAACCAATAATATTTGTTATAGTCCGCATCCAGTCCAAGTATCTATTCTTCCTTCACCCGACTGTCGTTTATATTTATTTCAATAAAACATAACCAAAATAGCATACAGACTACCAATGTAGGTAACAGTACATCTCAAAATGCAGCCCGTGGCAGTCTATTTAAGAGAGTAAGTAATAATCTTAACGCGTGACAGGTCGGTGATAGATAGAATTTTGAATAGTTCGAATATATGTATCAGTGAGTACTGCTTCCCAAAGTTACAATTTTTAATGCCGTGGTCGGCTTTAGGGACACAACTTATGAGAAAGGTTTTACGGGACGGAAATCATCAATTGATTTTTCTCACCCAGGATGAGACGAGTGGTATAGTCAGACTCTTACTGAAAAACCATCCCGTTCCTTCCCCTGTTCCATGCAGAGGTTGTTGAGGACCTTATTTCGCTTGCCCCACAAACCCGGATGACTACGCTCCCAAACAAACTTCAATTGAGCCCAAAAGGGCCGGCTCAACTGACTGAAAGCCAGCGTAAAACACTTCGTTGTGTTTCGAAGAGTTAGGTTACCGATCAGACGAACCCAAAATTTAACGCCTAATCGCACAAATAATTACGGTTAAGATTCCGACTTTTATAAATGACTCAATAGATATTGTGCTTATAAAAAAAAACACCAAAGAAAAGAAGAACATATTAATAACTTGTATTCGTTATCACCAATACACCTGAACAATGCTGATGCTGCTTAAATTTGATACGACTAACGCCATCTAGTAGCGCTCTAGTGAAATAATAGTTTCTGAAACTTAGATTCTGGCCAAACTTCATTGTAACATACATTTTGTGTTTATTTTATTACACTTTAATAATAAGCCTTCTTGTGGGGTCTTGTTATCACCATTTAAAAAATGTACGCTACAACGGCTTTAAAGTTTATAAATCAAATAACTATGACACTAACAAAATAAATATTAAAACCATGTCATGCGAAAACATAGACTCATATAATAGAAATTACACGACTAAGGAGGTGTCCTAGGAATAAATAACCCAATAATACAAGAGAAATATGAGAATACTCCCATCTCTAATACACACGAACCAATACGACAGAACTGTTATCCGACTTTTCAGATATTTACTGTAATAATAAACATTTTTTTAAACGATTGTAACAATTTTATAATAGAGCGAGCAAAGCAGTCGCAATAAACTGGACACATTTACACACTCTGTACTGTATTTATTACTAATAACCTTTTGCAGTCACTGTTATAAATTTTTTACTCTAAGTTTAATTTAGTATTTTCCACTATCCCACTATCCTTTGGCATCAGACAAGGATTTATAACACGTCTAGATAGTACTAAACACTTACTTGTACTGATCATCTTCTAGAAATTTCTGTAGTTCTTCAATATAGCGGACACTATTCAGGTAGTTCGCAACGTGGGGCAGAGGCAGGATGTCGTACTCAGACGTCTGGTACTTCTCGAGTGCTTTCAACACGACTGCCATCTTCGCCACGCGGTGGGGCGAATCCGGGGGATGTGCGATATCAATATACACGAGATCCGTTAGGAATATACCTGTTAAAGAAAAAAATCTGGTAATTATAGTAATAATAGTATCTCTTTCAGGATTTTCTCTTCTATTATCTTGGGTGCGTTTATAACAAACAGGAAAAAATTAAGCCATAAAAGATGCCGAAAAACGTGACGTATATCCATTTCAGTTCAAACATGTACGACTTATCTTTACTATGTTATATTAGCGTCATGTCAGATATTTATGTCTTCAATAACATTTGTTACAGAATTACAGAACAAAGGTTACCCGTTTTATAACACTTTTTTTTACCTTTGGAGAACATGTTATATAAGTATTTGTTCGCTTATGCAATGAATCCTACGTAAAAGTTGGCGAGCCGTTGCTATGAATCACGAAATTGAAAACTGTTATGTAAAGCAAATTCTTCGTCTGGTTGTAAATTAAAATAATGTTCAATGTTTATTTTAGCAAAAAGAATCGAAAAGATTTACAAGGAATATTTAGATGGACAGAGATCAGTTATAAGATATCAAGGGCAAATTTTCTGATGATTTCGATGGGCAATTTTTATGTTTTTTTTTTACGGGACAAGCCCGTCGCTCCGTCCCGAAACTGCTGCAACTACTGTAAGCCAGGATCTACAGTAGATACAACCATGAAAACACCGGAACACTAAAGTCCGGCGCTTCCCAGGGACATGAATGGCTGTCTTGGCTGCGAAATAAATCAGAAGATATTATTTGAGGAGAAGAAAAAACTAAATAGTCCACTTCCCTGTGTATATTTAATGCAGGAGACAGAATGACTTGCGCCTTTAAGGCACAGAAGAGACTGTACAACTGGGAGAAGCCCAGACACCAAACACAACGGAAAATTTTGTATTGTTATTGTTAGTGGACCTATGTGTGAGCTGCTGCTATAGTTGTTTCCAGTAATAGGTATGGTAAAAACGCCTAAACGCACGGAAATTTGTTCTTCCTGCGGGGGTGACAGCCGCAGTGGGTGACGGGGCCCACCTGATAATGGCGGGCCAATCCCGTTGGGGGGATACGACGAAAGCTTCGGCGATACCCGCCCCTCTGACACCAAGGAAGGAGGAACACCGGGTTGGTTTTTAGTCAGTAAGAGTCTGACAGTACTCTTCGCCCTTCCCCGAGGGCGGTGGGTCTACGTGAGGAATTTCCAACCCGATACAAAAAGAAATTTGTACTACATTCCACAGGGTCCGTGTAATAAACTACACTTGATGAGACATCATTTTAACTTAATGTATGTTGTTAGATTTCTGGAATTATTTTAATTTATGAAAAGACTTTTCTAAATATTTTCCGTGGGAATGCAGCTCTGTAGCGTCAGGCCCAACCACCTGTCAAAACACAAATACGATTTATATTTAAGGATTTTTTTATTGTTTATTCTTAAAAACGTTACAGACGGAAAATTGTTTTCTAGAATGCTTTTGTGCAGCGCCTTTTTATCCAAAAAATTACACATAAGCACTCTTATCGAGCTCTATCTTCGGCCACCTTTTTTTAGTCATCCATAATAACAACCCAAATATATAAAATAATTCGCATATTATAGAAAAGTACAGTATATTATATGTCGCGAAGCGGTGTTACTACCGCGGTGTTACCACCGCTTCGCGACAGAAAAGTATATTAACACTAGCTACTCTCGTGCGGTTTCACCCGCTGCTCGGCTCCATTTAATTGTACCGTGATGTTTTACAGCCTATAGCACTCAGGAACATTGTAGCTATCTATCAATGAAAAAATTTTGGAAATCCAACCAGCGGTTCTAAAGATTACCTCCTACATACAAACTTAAAAACATACAAACTTACAAATTTTACCTTTTTATAATATTAGTATAGAAGTATAGACAAATCCACAATCTACACAAATTCCTATTCAAAGCAAATACGGATCCTGCACCGCAATAAAATTAAGAAATTAAAAAGATGGCACTATGGGGGATCGTGCATATTAAAATGTAGTTTTCTGCGCTATTGTTACTATAGGTAACACAAAAGGTCAAATATTAAAATAAACCGTCGTCTAAATAAACTTGCATTTAATCTTTAGGTGGCTGTTGTAGTTACTATGTAGATACATAGTAGGAATTTAGAAACTAAACCGGGAGTTTTATTATAGTAAATGTCCTACACTGGTGGGATCCTAGGTGCAATAAAAACCTTTTATTTAAAACCGTTGTTTTAAACAAACAATTTAACACACACGACACCCGGAATAACAAATTTTGGATCATACAAAGAGTTGTTCCATTAGGAAATCAATCAGCTACTTAATCCTAATCCCGACCGCCGCGTCAGCTGTACAGTCGTAATGCAGAAATCCTTTAAACAGAAACTATTTGGCCAGCCGCTGAACTAACGTTGCAGTCTTATTAAATTCATTGGATCTTTTACGTAAGTACCTTCAACTATATTTACAGCAGTGCTCAATAATTATATCAACATTTGGAGATTTAAAACCCATTGGAGCATTAATAACAATGATTTATGTATAGTTCCGATAAAAACACAAATACATACAAGTACAGCACCATTATAGTTTTAGAGGTATGAGAGAACAGGGTTGAAAGTTCCTCATCCTCTATTGAAAAGGGAGGATCCTCCGACCAGGCGAGGTGTTCGTGCCTGGCGGGCTACTGCCCGACGGATGTTGTAGGGATTTTTTGTATCGGTTCTGATTGCGTAGAGAACTCTCATATCGCGATGTAGAATCTTACACGTGATTGGTGCTATTGTTAATGTTCTGCGATAGATGTCGCTACATAGTAATCAGCCAAGGATGCTCAAGCTCACTGATGAACCTAGACTTATTAGTGACCTAACCCAACTACTATTTATTTAGAGATTATTATTAGGTATTTAATTGCAAAATTTGCGCGGTGGTTGGGCAACCATTTGGATTCCCGCACGGATAATCACAACTCTTTGTGTAATTCACAAATAGTTCCGGGTCTGGGTGTGATGTGTATGTAGATATACTAGTGTGAGACAACGTTTTCTTTTTTAATAACTGAAAAAAGAGGTAGACCCGGAGGTAAAAAAAGTCACTTTCCAGTATGGATACCATTTGTTTACACTGACTTATCATTATTCAGAATTCAAACAAATATTGCGTCATTGGTTCAGGAGCTTATCGGGCACTGTCAAAACTGACCCTAATAAACAGATAAAGAGATAGTGCCTTTCTAAATTAAATAATAAATTATATAGAAGATAACTTATCAAGGAATTATTGTGAAGCCGAGCTTAAATTTAAAATAGACATAACAGATACTTAAGTGAAAAAATAGAGTAACATTTTTTATAGAAAACGCGTTTAAAATGTCTTAAGAATGTCTCCGACAAATTATAATTATTAAAACAAATTTGAAACAAGAAATTTATATTTTTATATTTTTAAAGAGTTACGTGTTCAGAATTCTTGGAATGTTTTGTCGCGAACAAAAATTTGTTGAAATTAAATTATATAAGCAATTTTTGCGTTCGCCTTTTCGCAGTCACAGGCTGTAAATAAACCCTGTATATAATGGTGTTTTTTAGTGTAGATTTTTGTATTTTGCCACTGAGAACAGCACTTACGACATTAAATTATATTGTAAAACATAAAAACAAGAATTACAAACATCTATTAAAATGTTGAAAACAATAACATTTATTATTGTTTAGATTGTAAAATGTACGTACGAGTATTAACAAATTTTACCAAAATACTCTATCAAATAAAAAGGTTATTTGGGAATTTATTTATCACTTTTGGTTATCAATAATTCGTGTACATAATTATCCTGAAATATGAAGGATAAGAGTAGGCCGTCGCCACAGCCACGCCCTTATAAATTCCTCCGTTGCCTCATAAATTTTCTACAATAAAATAACATTAAAAATAAAATCGCTTGCACAAGACTTCTTAAGTTAACGCCGCTGAATTGATATGCTAATACGAATTCCTCTGCATGTTCAAATAAACTGACTGTCTTAAGACTAATTGGATCAATATTCGTTCTTATTACTTAATAATTCAGCAATCTCATAAATATATGACTATTACAGATCAATAAGCGCTCAAGGCTAACGATCGTAATATTCTTAGCAACCTTTACCTTGACTATAACTTGGCTGAACTCGCCCGATTAGGTAAACTGTCTGACTTTGAACTTTAAAGAAACTTACTAACACTATAAGTTGTAAGTAAAGTAAGAGCAAAACATTATGAGTGCGGATGGATGGATGGACGTTTATTACTGGTTAGTTAGTTACGTAAAATAATAACAATTAAATTTTAATATCCGTACAGAACGGATCTGAATTGAATTTGGCATGGAGACTGATTACAGTCAATAATAACACATAGATTGATTACAGTCAATATTAACACATAGGTTACTTATCACACAGTAAATTGCAATAATTTGTAAATTGCATACATAAATAAAAAATAGCCTATGTCCCATTCCGGAGTGTATCCTACGCCTGTGCCAAATTTCATCCAGATTTATCCAGCCGTTTTGGCATAATTGATTAACAAACATCCAAACATCGTAACTTTCGCATTTATAATATTAGTAAGATACTAGCTGAATGTGAAATATTATTTAAACGACTTGTTATTGCAACTGTATGGCTGATAATATATAATATATGGTGATGATTAACGAATAATTATTCTTACTAACTCTTCATTACCTTAACTGTACGAGACTCTTAAGACAATCAAAGGAAAAAAAGACTTCTTGGGAAAATCCAAATGGCTAAATTTGAGTTTCGAATTGCGTATTACAATTACAATAGCAGAATCACGCGGTAATAATTACAATCACAGATTGTAATAATGCTCAAAATTGTCCAGTTTTGAGAAGCTTTTGCGCGATTAAATTACATATACATGAATAAGGGCAATTGGCCGCATTCAATCCATTTCAATAAAAAACGCAACTTAAACATGAGTACAGACATTTTACTCATACTCGTGAACTTTTATTTCCGCATTAACAAAACTTGTGTCATCAAAGACTTACATGAATCGATAAATTGTGAGAACTATGTCAATCGATTTGAGAGAACTGCTATTATTAGGTGAGTTCGCCCTTAAATCGATGTCTTTTGTAGATACGTTTCGGCGCCAACGGATAATACATTTGTAGATATCGAAATCGCAATTAAATATCTGGATTGCTTACCTAGATATGGTATACATGGCAAAGGGATACATCTTAAATAGTCTCTTAGTGCAGTCCAATTGTCCTTTTCACCGAATAGCTCCGCCAGTTTATCGAACTGTTGTTTATCCTTTTTAGATAAGCACGCCCACGTTTTTGATAGCCTGTAAATGAACAGTTTAAATTATATTATTACCTAGTCAACAAGTTCTCTTAAATGTGACATAATTTGATTATTTAGTTAGTCTAAAACGTACGAATAGTACCCAATTATTATCTCACCTGTATATACTGGCACTATGTAACGCGGAGATAACAGCGAATAAAGAGTGCAAATTATTCAGTTCGTGAAGCTTTTTTCCTACTTTGATAAAGTGGGCCAATATTTCGGCACGTGCCTTTGGCGTCTGCCCGTTCAATATTTCCTGTACAGTCCAAAAACTAACCTGGGAACAAAAATGTTACATATAATTACGAACAGTTGATTACAGTCGACTTGTAAAACAATTTGTTTCAATGCCATGACTTCATACATAGGAAGTAGTGTGCTTATCGCTACTGATTTTGCGCAGCAGGAGCTATATTGAATAAATACTGTTTTATATTGGACTAAAACTTCTCATTCGCTGGTTCTTAATGTAACCTCTTATATTAGATCATTTAAACAATAAAATATAGGAAAGAATCAGTGTCCCCCACTTACAATACCTTGTCATTTCATTCCACAAAAACATTACGAATTTAAATCCACGTCTTCTTAAAATAAGTGGATCTAAACGAAAGGATATGAACTATTCTGAGGCGGCAATCACAATCATCAATTACTTTGAGTTGCAGCTTCTAAACAGTGTAGGAATGCCCTCTAGATGAGGTCACTCATTGTGATTCTTATCGTTGGTAATGATCAATTACGGACGCTGTTGGACGCCCATTTAAACATACTTCATGAAGTTTATTTAATATAAAAGTCACCAGTACAATATTAATAATATTATTATACAAATTCGCATAGCTCAGACAAAAAATAGATACTTACCCTGTTAAATCTTTTAGTGAATGCTACCACATTAGGTGCAACCGTCAACTTGTTCAATTTGTTCCATCCGCACGTTGTTAATTCCTCCGGTTTGATAGACTTAAAACAAGGCAAATCAAGCAGAGTGAGTTGGTTAGCAATATCTTCAGGAGTGATACGCAATGCAGAGCACACTATTTCATCCCAGGATTGGTTGATTGATGATGCAGGTGGCAGGCTGCTCGTTTTATATTGGTATAAGGGATCGTGTTGCCTGCCGTTTCCGCTCTCGCCATGGCTGAAAAGAAATATATTATTTTAATATTAAATAACATAAACGGACATTGTATAAAAGAGATGTCCTCGTATATGTTTACTAAGATCTTACATTGTATAAAAGAGATGTCCTCGTATATGTTTACTAAGATCTTACTAATCTTACTTCTTACTAACATTATAAATGAGAAAGTTACGATTACAATTTGGATGTTTGTTACTCAATCACGCCTGAACGGGTGAACGGATCTAGATGAAATTTGGCACAGGCATAGGATACACTCCGGTATATAGCACATAGGCTACCTTTTATCAACATACCACACGGGCAAAGCCGCGGGCGGAAGCCAGAAGATTAAAGATGAAGTAGAACCTCCTTTTTTGAAGTCGTTTAAAAAGTGAGTCTGCCATGTCTGGCACGCCTAAGTCACTTTTTCAAGATTTACTATTATAACTAACCTACTTTCTCAGGCTATATGGTGACAAAAATACATCTCAAGAAATTTTAGACTCTTTTAGATTCTAATATGTGTACCATTGGCACCACAAAGGCACCTGTATATAATTGACATTACAAACACCTAGTTTTTAGAGAAAGAGTACTGGGGAGTGTTGAATTTTTACCTCACTATCAGTACCGGACCGAACACCAGATCCTCTCAACGGACTATTTTTTTTTTTTTTGCTATAAGTGATCTTTCGCCAGCCCTCAGACAGATACTGCTTATGTTCTCTGCTTATGTGTTGTAGTTGTATAACATCTCATACGTGTCAAATTTCTGGTAGTAGGTACATACAAATATTGTCAAATAGCTATAATAAAAACTTCCAATACTTTTACCAAAAACCACTTCAAACTGGTTTCAATAAACCTGTTTTCTTTTGTCATAGATAATTTAACAAGCTGTCTTGCAGCAGGTGTACCGAAAGAATAAATTAGAAAGTGACAATACGAAGTGAAGCAGTCTACTCATAATTCAATACAAATGTAATGGATGAATGGCAACAATTCTGGTTATGTAGGATATAAGAACAAAAGATAATTTTATCACAATTGACCTTTTGTGTTGTATATAATCACTATTACTTGATAATTTCCTACTCTTTCCCTTTTATAAAAAGAAACTAGTGAGAGTTATAATGTGAATATGACGTGGGTATTACATTTACATAACACCGCATCCTTTTAATCACCGAAGGAGAAGGCGGAGTGGTGACGCAAATTCGCTTGTCAAAAGTCATCATAAAAACACTACTGTGTGTTTATCAAACACTAGTCATAATTGAAACTCCAAGCTTTAGCTAAAAATTCCAAAATCAGCCAGGCACCGAACTCCAAACCTCTTTGTTTGGCAATCGCAGTTGCAACCTCTGGATCAATGGACCAGTTGACATAGAACAGGATTATTTTAATGGAACAGTTTTATACCAAGTTCTAGTAGTAGACACCTAATTAATATAAAGAGCAATAAAAATGAATCATACCCATAATTATAATAACAGGCGCAGTCATCTTTTGTTATAGACTTCTGACTGTTCATAGGAATGTTGGATGATTTTTTATTACTCTGTTTACATGATGGTTTGTTTTCAAGCGGCCAATTCTCTTCATCTTCATGCTGTAACATAATTAAACTATTACATTAAGGAAAATAAATAAATACAATAATATTAATAGTACTGTAGCATAATGTTAAAAATAAAAATTTTTGAGTAAGATGTAAGCTTCATAAAATAATAAGGCTCACAGAATCCATCTGAATATCTGTTACTGTATCCATCTGCGATTCTGTTGTATCATTATATATACACACCGTGATGTACTAATCATATGTAGGATACTGTTAATTATGAAATATGACTTATAAAAGCTCAGGAATCATGCATGCATAAATCACACTGGACATTAAGATATGAGATGATATGAATGAAAAGGATTCCTTTATAAAATTTCCCATTGCACATTGAATATTTACCATAATTCTTGTAAAGCACACATCTCTTACAACTCCAGAAGCAATGTTTACATGCCAATGCGATAACAGTTTGAACATTATAATAAAAAAAGGAGTCAGGACCAGCCAACACAGAAATCGACTCAAAAGACATCACTGAACTGCATTAAAGTTTATCAACTTATCAAATGAAATGTTGTTTATAGTGTAATTAATAGTAATGAACAGCTGCATAAGCAATGTATATGTACTCAACACATAATGATGTCATTACCACCACTATGCTTAAAAGCTTTGTATCATTAGCTTTTGCTGAGAGAGCAAATAATATGTAATAACTTTATATTTTTCAAAAAATAATATTATCAATGCAAATAGAATAAGGTTTAAAATAGATGAGCTATAATACTTAAATCAAAATTTTCATTTAATATCCAATGTGGATAGAGAACAGAATACATTATATAATCTTTAACAGTTAATGTACAGCATGGAATGTGTACCTTAATACTTCACCAAGTTTATAGCATACTTTTTAGAACATAATATGAAGTATTTTGTTTGGTCTACTAGGATGAATCTATTTAGGCCACTCCCTATCTACAAAAAGTCAAGAGATAAATTCATGTAAGAATTTGTACTGTTACTAATTAATTTATTAGTTCTAATTTTTTATTTCTGACAATATACAAGCTTGCATCTATATTTATGGGGTGTCGCATAAGACTGTATTTGTGTCATCCATTTCTCCTGACCTGAGTTCTTCATGTTTAGAGGAGTTATTTATAAGAACATATGAATATTATATAAATTACTACTCTATGTTGTTTTATAAGAACAACATAGAGTGGTAATTTATAAGAAATGCTGTATGAATATTATTTATAAGATATATTAAAAAACAGCTGTGACAAATCTATATTACACTCCAGCCTAAAAAAGACTGAGGTTTAGCTCAGTCATACTTTAGTTTAAATGGGTTGCAATTTATTTTGTCTAGAAATTATAGTGACGTTTGTTTTGGTATTCGGCAACTTTCCTATGAAATCCAAAAGTATGTTGCTGTATCATGAATCAACTTATGGCACCACCACTGTATGTAGATTTCTTACAAGAATGGACTGTATGTTTATATTTTGCACTGAATCTATCATATTAAGTATTTACCTCTTGACTTTGTTCACAAAATGTAAGCTAGCAAGAAAAAAATTATGCAAAATCTCAGAAGCAAAAAATAATCTTATGATTACTAATTTCAATCCAAAATAAAATAGAAATATAACTATACCTCAACTATCCTCAAGACAGCTAAACTATCACTCAAAATATCCCGGGGCATGATGGGCTTACTACAGCTGGTACCTACTGTGATAAAAAAAAATATTATGAAATATACAGGAACTAAAGACAGCCGACAGCTAATCTGTCTTTCCGCACAATAATAATGTGTCTAGATGTAAAATCAACAAACTTGTTATTGGAAGATAAGAAACAAATGAAACCATTTAGCATTGTGGTAAAAGTTAACAACTTAATCGGTACTTAGCCAAATTAAAATATTATATTAGCGAGAGAAAACTCACTTTTCAAGATGTAATCTTTATTTTAAATGAACAAAAATACAAATTAAATTAGCCCTCTGACCTTTAAAATTGGATGTTTGTTTTCTTTATATTTGAATACTGATTGATTATATCAATGTGGTATTTTTTACTTACCATTGCATTCAGTAGAGCCCGTATTACTACTTATATTACACTACAATCTAATTCATTTATGTTAGAAAATTAAATGTGAAATATTTAATGGTTACACCAAGGACTATGATATGATACACAGATAATAATACAGATAAAATATAAATGTTGTTCAGTCACTACCTACTATTATAGGGCAATACTAAACTTGGACTTGGGACTAAAGATGGGTAGGCAAGAATCTGAGATTTTAATAAATTATGTAATTTCATTTTAAATATCCCAAATGTGTGAACCACAAATTATTAGTTTGCGTTGCGTTACTTCCCGTCAATGGAAAATAATTCTATTTTTAATGTTGTCCAATATCCCAAAAGTTATGTATCCAAGTTTTAAATGTCTCGTCACTGACCATAGAATGTAAAGCTATACATAGATGTCGCTATCATCACCTTTATTTTGTTATCCTCTAGTCTGGTTGACCTAAGACCTTCCTTGTAATGCTAGATTCTCATCTCAGCTTTTGAGTATGAACTGAAAAGTTCAAACACGCCTATATAAGTGTGGGAGAGCCATGCTTCGACACGAATGGGTCGGCTCGACCGGAGCGATACCACGGCCTCACAGAAAACCGGCGTGAAACAACCACAGCGTTGTGTTTCGCCGTGGGAATGAGGTTCCTGGAGGCCCAATCCTTCCCCTTCCCCAATCCCTAAATCTCCAAATCACTAATCCCTAAAAAGTCGGCAACGCACTCATAACCCACACACACAAACAATAATCAACTCTGTTCGTTTGCCGACCTATTAAACATAAAAACCATGTCTGGGGGCCTGGTCGGTGTGTTGGCTAGTCTCTACCACCCATTTCACGTATATTCATTACATTGTTTCGGCAGGTGCCACAGCCCTTTCAAAGTTCCATATTAGACCCACAGCCATAGCGCTCTTATTCCCATTATCAGCGGTAGTCCTACATTAACCGAAAGCTATTCGAGGTTGTATTTCCATTGCGCCTATATCGATAGTCTCTGGTTTACGCCCCTTTTCATTTATTTAGACTAAAGTTGTAAGAAGGGCCTCCGCGCAGTTGGCTCCGGCCCCTAAACGTCTCCCTGATTACCGGAATCCGATGGACCCGTGATTGGTAAAGATATACATAGTTATAGATAAGATAACCCATTAATTAATTTTTACCAGTCCATAGCCAGCCAAACCCGTATAATTTTCTACCATATTGCATAATCAAGCGTAAAATATATGTAGTGTAGTTCATATCTGCAAAAAATATCCTAATTAGGGTTCATGACATGACTATACATTAAAATAAATAGCCTAGAAAAAAATGAATTAAGTATAAGAATTTAAGAAATCACAGAAATAAAAAAATATGTTTTGATTCTTTTAAAGTTTTCTAGAGTCAAAGATTTTTCTATCTCGTAGAAAATATTATGTCTTTCTTGATTTTTGCACCAAATTGCATTCCAGATAGAAATAAAATATTTTGTTTTTTATGACAACATCGTTTGTTATAATTTTTTTCCATAAAAATAAGGCAAACTCGATCAAGCGACATCTGACGGGATAAAACTACAGTCTTTTACACCTTTGACAGAAAACCAAAATAACCTCACTTCGCCATTGTTCTAAAAAGGTATTACAGAACTTAAGAAGTTTATTAAAATGGCAAAACCAGTGGACTTGGAACTGAAAAAAGCATTTATTGAATTGCAACTTAAGATGGTGGAAACCAGTGAAAAAATTCAAGTGATAGATTCTCAAATAGATGTACTCAAACGCGTCTTGCAGCATGTAGATATTACTCAGCGAGAGATCAGTACATTTCCACCTGCTACTAAAACTTACGAATCCGTTGGCAGAATGTTCCTCCTTACCGATTTAGATGAGGTCAAGAACAACTTAAAGACTCGAAAGTCTCAACTAACGACTCGTATAACAGAATTAGAGAATAATACACAGTATTTAGAGAAGAATCTGAAAGAGAGTGAAGACAACATCAGAGAAATGGTCCAACAGAGGAAAGAGCAAAGTGACACTAAATCTAACTGAAGTATATAATTACCTGCTTTATTTATAAACTAATTCTTACGAAATTTGATAAATATAATGACAAGAAAAGTTTGATTAAAATCACTCTACTTTCAACCTGCTTAAAGCCTGGTGGGTATATAGTAAGCTTTTTAATGTTACTTACAAACAAATTAATAAAAATGTATTCTGTTATTTGATTAATTTTATTCTGTCCAAAGCAGGTTGTTCCAACATGTATAAGGAAAGTTCTGTCTCATGTCACATTATTATTTAAATTTAATTTTATCAGTAGTTGCACTTTAGATATTATGGCTTTACTTCAAAAAATAATGTTCACTCAAACTGTATTTTTGTGTAGAAGAACATTTGTCTAATCTAGTTATGTTTCTAAAGATTCAGTTCCCATAATTGTTTGCCTATTGTATAGTTTCCCTTACAAGATGGGATTATGTTATATTTTGTTATGCTGCACAGAATATTGGATCTGGGCTAATTCAAGATTATTAAACGAATAAAGTAATGAACCAGCATTCATTTTTTATGGTTTAAGCATTGATTTAATATTTAAATAGCATAATACATTAAAGTGAGACACTGATCCAAACGCTTTACTATGCTAAACAGAACACAATAAATAATTTTTCAGAATTTGTTTTTTATTTATTATGATGTTCCTTGTTTTATGACATAATATTGCAAAGACATAGTGAAGTATGTCTTAAATAAGTCAACAGTAAAAAATACTGGTCCAACAGTGAAACCAGTTAAGTGATGAATCAATAGTTGTCGTAAACAAATAGATGGTCAATTCGCCCAATAATTTAAACAAGTTTTTGGTCCTATAAAAATTAGAATCAAGAAATCGTACTGGATTGACTAACACCACTTCACCAATCATTTCATCCATCATCAGTAATCCACTGTTAGACATAAATCTCAACCTATGTTATGTCTTTTAAAAGTCAGCAGTCTGCTGAGGTCGCATCTATATAATCAGTAACTGTATTGCTGTAGTAGCAACAGGAAGCAGCTGAATGCAGTTATGTTCAATGTTCCTTCCGCTGAACTGGAAGTCTATAGGGAAGGCATGTTCAGACTTGGGGCTTTTACTAATAATTTAAAGATGAAAGAGTTTGTTTGAACGCGCTATTCTTTGGAACTACTGGTTATAATTAAAATATCACGCTATGATCTTTTGAGCTGAGCAGCGGGTGAAACCGCGTGAGAGTAGCTGATATGATAATACAAGTCACGCCAAGCAAGTGAGTTTCCCAGAAGTCCAATCCTACTTTGAATTATAGATAGATTGTAATATTCGAGAATGGGTAAAAAAGTATAAGATATTTGTACTGGGATTGTGTTAGCCAATCAATTTTTAATCTATTAGAGCTGTAAGATTCAAGTCGTACTGGGTGCTCAAAGATTATGTCCATATTTAATCTTTTTGTTACTTCTAAAACCTCAACAAATGGTGGTATGAAGCGAGGCTGCCAAATATCTACATCATTGACGGGAGAAAGACCTTTGTACTGTTGCTTCCAGCGTGCCCTAGTTCTTGATACGTAAAGAAATATTTTGATGAGGTTTTTATAAATAGACAGAATGATGGAAGAAGTAGGTTGAGGGGTAGTGTTTATTACTTTTTGTCGCCGAAATTGATAGGAGTTATAAATATTGAGTTTTTGACATGCTTGCAAGGGAAATCTGGCTTCAAAAATCTAAATCTTACAAAAGGAGTTAGCAAAGAATACTAAGGTTATCTTGATCAACAAGTCGATTATTTTCAAAATTTTTATTTTTACACAAGAAGAATTGATTTCAATAATTCTTATATGAATTTTTTAATACTAAGTTCATGAATTTCATTTAAACTAAATTATATCTTAACGAAAAATACTTAAATTGCTACAAAACGTTGATCGTAAATAAAATAGTGAAATATTTACACAACAATCTAAATTAAGTAGTATAACGTAAAATTTAAATTTATATAATAACAAATTCATGTGACCTTATTAAATGGTAATAATGTTCAGTAAATTAAAGCTAAAAAGCTTAAAAAGCATTATAATTAATGAATCATAATTAATTAAATAATGTTTTAACATTAAAATATTTATATGAGTATAAAATACCTAGTGATATTGCAAAGACTGCTTCTTTATAATCAATAATTAATTATTAATACAGATAATCACATACTAATTTTAACACTTTACTATTTAATTCAATAAAATATTGAGTATATATGGAATGGGCAAATAAAATTGTACTAATAAAGCGCTTTCTATTCCATGTAAGGATAACATATAAATCTTGAGGAAATAGCCTACGCAACTACGGGCTTATATTAACATCCTTATCGTTTAACATAATTACGAAAGATGAAAGAGTTCCTTCACTAAAGTGATGTGTATATTTTATTCCTGGAACCGTTTAAGAAGCAGTCTCTTATCCAGTCATCACAGGCTATGCGAATACTATTATTATAAAAAAATTATAATCGATTAAAGATTAACTTGTCATGATATAAAATAAAATTGCCATTACAATAATGTGTAAATAAGAAATAATCATAAAATCTTCACAAAATGCTACATTATTTAAATCTACAAACAATATAAATTACACTTTCCTATAACAAGTCACATTTATGATTATTTATTTAGGATTCCACATAATGAAGCTATGCTACTGTTACCGTTTACTCCTCTAGAGCCAAGAAGGTCGATTAATGTCATACGGTTGCCGGACGCCAAGGGTCGGAGGATAGCCGCCGGGATACAAGCTCATAATCTGGGCACCTGTTTGCCGTAATAACTCTTCTTGATGTTGAAGATATTGTTGATACAACGGTGAAGTCGGGTCGGTCCCTACGAAAGGATAACCAGCTCTGACCTGTGAATGGCCAATAAAAGGGAACGAGCTCGCAGTATGTGTTGAGTTTTGATGCGCGGGTTTCACTAACTTTTCTGCATTTACCTCGGCATTATTGCGCTGTTGATGCGCAACTGCCGCAACCATGTAGTTGGCTGCCATAAGCTGATTTGCGGTACTATTACGGAAGTCTTCAATTGTAA